CACCCAAGTCGTAGCGTTTATCGTGGGGAACGTTTTTTGTGGGAGATTGAATATTTTTAAAAAATAATTAATTACCATTAAATGGAGAGGGTTGGGGTGGACTTTATGGTATCTATGGATAGACCTCATTGCCCTCCATCTTCTACAAAAATTTCAACCTTCTCGGAGCAGCGGACGTATTTTAAAAAATGTAAAATATTAATAAACATTTTCTTATCTTGAGGCTTCTTGATCTGTGATAGTTGTTTAATAAAATTATTGAACATTTTGGTTGCGGAATGTGGTACCTTATATGAATTTTGCGAAAAATAAATAGGGTAATCCGTTAGAGACAAATGTGCCTTTTGTCTTGGAAAAATGATGCTATACTGCTAATCATTTCAATTTTATTCCTTTATTATATGTATTTAACAATTACTGAAAATTCATATATCAGAGAGAATTATTCTAAGTGGTGAACATATTTTATTTTATACGTAGACTGTTTGAAAGATATAAATTTGGCACGAGATGTTTTATTCGGCGAAACATAATTTTAAAATAAAGAAATTGCTAGAGACGTGTTAAGCAACGGGCTATATGAAATTTCTATCGTGGCAGACTGGAGGATAAAACTAAACTCGGCTTCCCAAAATGTAAAAGTGTTGTAAAGGACTTCCGCCTTCGCTTCGTTCCCATCGCTTACGTTGAGAACAAAGGTGAATTTTAGAAACAGGATTTTTTTTTCAAATCGCTAGCATCCAGAACCATGTATGGATACGCATATTTTTTTTTCTTTTTTTTTAATTTTTAATGAATTATTGGAAACTGAAATGATATCTTAATGGTTAAATTTTGCGCATGGACACCAGATTTGTTGTTTCCTATATTCATTAGTAAAGGACCCCCACGTTTCTTATGCAAAATGACTTTCGACTAATGTTTTAGTAGTAGCTGTTGTCTTTTTAACGTTCTGAACAATTTGATAAGATGTCCAGTTCTCAAGATATGTGTGCCCAAAATTAAACAAAGGGAAATTTTAGTAGTTTTCTTATAATGTTACCAATGTTAATAACAATCTTCTTGACTAAATTGTTATGGGAGAATTTTACTCTTCAAAATGTGAAATTTATTTTTGTATAAATATTTAGATTCATTTCGATTACAATTCAAAAGTATGCGAAATTATCTCAAATAAGATTTATTTCACAATAGCAGTTTATTTCACAGGCACATACTGTAAGAGGCTAAATATTTCAAAAACGGTAAACAAAGATGCATTTTTTGTTATAAAAATCAGTAAAATAAAATCTTTTAATTATTGCCAACAGTATGCCACAAAATAAAAAATAATTCAACACGTAGCGCATTTTACATGGTTGGACAAAAATTGATATCAGATGTGTAATCCTCACTTAAATTCACTTAAAATCCTTAGAAATTTTTGAAGTTAAATAAGAAATTCGAAAATTAAATCGATACCTTAACAATATATTTTGCCATTCTTCTTTCGTTATGGATATATAACAAATGTCGGAGTTTTGTGAAAATTTGGTAGTTTAATTTCAAGTTACAGAACATCGGTCCAAAATGGGGTGCGATAATTTTGCATACTGTTAAATTTAAAATATTTAAAAACCCTACAAAAAGTAAAGTTTTTATTTATTTATTTTAGTTATTTATGGGCCATTGTGAAAATTATAGGAAAATTATTAAAATTCAGCTCAAGGACAACAATATTGTAAATTTTCCAAATTAAGGGAAAGTCATTTTTCACAATTAATATTAAAAAATGCCTCCCGGCGCATACGCCAATAATTAGGGAATACCTGTTAATTCAACGGAAATTCAGAAGACTGTTTTGTTAACCTGAGGATGAAATAATATGAAAATATTGTCAAAATAGAATGAGATAGCTACTCTATTCGTTTGCACGGTTACATTACTTCAACACTCCAACAATCACATAACCTTTCTGATCTCGGATTTTGGGCCAATGGCGAATGCGCCAGGAGATATAAATAAATTAAAATTATTTATTATTAAATTTCCAACAAATTTGTTAAAAGTAATGGCCCCGAGCCGAGTATAACTGTTAAGTTATCTTTAATAATAAAATTGCAGTCCCAAGATAAACATTTATTAATTGATTATCGGTATTGTAGTTACCGCCTATCATTTCAGCTTCATTTGAATAAATTAAATAAAAAACGCATTCCATCTATCCCTTTCAGCGCACCCACGACATGATGGCAAGTCATGCTTCACATTCCAGCTGTTTTTATATATTCTTCTCAAGAACACATTTTTCAAGTCGTTACATCAATAATCTAATCGCATTTTAACTTCCACGTATTCTATAGAGAAACCCCTAAAAGTCGTAAAAGATTATATTTACATATATGCAATTTTAAATTAATATTAATCATTAGGATGGTAATAAGAGGGATTAGTAAATTCTCGTAACACCGATGGAGATGTCTCTCGACTTTCACTTCGCATTTTATAATGGCGAGTTTAGTTATTTTGGGTTATCGCACTTCGGAAAAAATTATTTAATCTGTAAAAATCTTCCGGTTTCCCGCTGCTCTTAACACGTCCCGTTCATAGCAAATTAGCAAAGATTTACTTTCGTCGGTTAATTCAAAATAATTATTTTCTCTCCGTCGATGGCGGAAGTCATTGAACTCAAAGGATCTGCCGAAATTTGTATTGCCGACGCGTACTCTTAAGAAACCATCGACGCTCGTACGTATCGGTACGTACCCGTAAAAAATATTAATTAATATTAACCGCTCGTTAAATACGGTAATTATGCATTTGGTTGTTATTTTGGAAGTGGGTCATTTGCCCCTACAGAAATTTCGGTTCGACTATGGGTTCTGCTCAGGAATGTTGACGAAATGGGTCAAAAATCGTTTTATAATTAAGCTTTTCAAAATTGCCGCATTCTAAGCGAGACTGTATGTTTTCTAGTGATGATAAATTCGAAAAACTTATAAAAAAAAAGATTTTTCAAGAATTTCAAATCTATTGATTAGAAAATTTTGCGCCGGATTACTGACACTGAAGCTGTTATTGAAAATAAAAAAATTATTCAAAGCGGCGCCCAGGAAACGTTTTAGGCAAAACAACATTGCCGTAATCATCGATTTAACGTATATTATTATTCGGGTGCCAATTAAAGTCCGACATCCGTAATTTCCAAAAATTCTGCGGCATTGTAGGTACGGCAAAATCCTATCGCGACCCTCACCTTGGAATCTTACGAAAGCTTTCGATATTGTTTCTTGGAACTAATTAGTAATTTAAATAGAAACCGAAGGAATATCGCAAAAAAATATCGGTGGATACAATTAACGATCTGACCTTGAAAAATAGGAACCCGAGGCGCATCATTTAATTTTAAAAGTTTTGATTCTGAAACGTTACAGAAAAAATAAACTGCTCGGGCTACGGATATTATACTATTACTTATATTAGTATATCGGGTAGTATTGTACGGCGAATTGAAGACGGACGACAACTGAAAAATCGAAACGCAGAGAGTTAGCTTTCTCCCTCAACTTAAAATAGCAAAAATAACGAACGAAACAGCGGAACAAAACATGAATGCTTTTTGTTTTCAATTATATTTAAAAATTTATTAAAAAGGAATTTACTGGACGAAAATTATTCTTTTGAAACAGATTTTCCGTTAAATTATACTCATTACATTTTAGATTTAATTTTCCGTTTCCACTACTGACAAATTGGCGGATTTTAAAGACTTTAGTAACGGTGAAGTGTCAATTAGACTATAATACTAAGTCCAAACTTGCTTGTTTGTTAGCTAATAATCACGATATTTGGTTTTAGCGTTAATTTTAGGCCTTAATTACGAAGAATTTATTAATTATATATTATTTTTTGGTATGCCTATTCATTTTTAATAAGAAGACCCTGACTTTTTCTGCTACCGGATTTATGCAAATCCGAAAATTAGATTTCAAATGCTTATTATCGCTGCCGGTTTGATATAAACACATAAATGCCGAAAATCGAATTGGTACTCGATTAAAATGTATTTAAGGGTCATAAATTTCGACATTAGGTAAGCTCCGGCATTTTAGTAGAAACATGCAAATGAAAAAATTAGTAAAATCGTGTCATTAATAATTAAAATCGTCAGTTTTGTGAAATTTGAATAATAAATTAAAAACTTAATTTCGAATGTTTTTCTTGTTGTCCAAAAATGGATATAAACCCGAATTTGAAATTTCTGAAAAATGGCCATATTTCTTTAACAAATAATAAAAAGCAATAAAATAATACTATGCAACAAGTTTGAAAAACGCCATGTTAGTCACTTTTTTGACTTGACATAAGGGGAGCGAGTGTTGTTGGGTACATTTTTGCAAATCCACGCGAATACATCCACTGAGTGAAGAGTGACTTTATCGTAAGAACGTCAAAAATATCCAATTGCCCCCAAATCTGTGCCTAAAGCACCGGTACCGTCGCTGAAATCTACCGAAAACCCACCATTCCCAAGCCCGTGATTAATGTACCGGAAATGTTTGATGTATCTCGCTTGCAACAATTTTTAGAATGCAGATAAAACATTTTAGTTTTATTAAAACTTTAACGTGCAGATATGAAAAGGGCAATTTCGTATTTTATAAAACCAAAAAAGGCAGTTCATTTTGTGTAAATTATGGAACCAAATTTTTCGTATTAAATTTGCGCCTTAATAATACTCATATTAAAAGAACTATAGGAAGATTTACGAAAAACCTGGAGATTTAAGTTTTCCAGACCTCAAGGTTAATTTAATTTCCTGTTATCTGCATGCGGCTTACTAATTTCACAAAGAGTTACTCTCGAAGGGAATCAAAGGCTACTGTTTGCTTCTGCGTCGAACGCATCGTCTGTCAAAAAGCACTTCCCTCGCCCCCACCCGCGCATCAGAACAAAGGTACTAGACAGAGACGGAAGAAAAACCGAAGTCGAGAAGAAAACCCGACAGCTCCTGCGGAACGGGCCAATATTCCTTCGGCTGTAGGAATAGTGACGTCGACCAATGGTAGACTTGGATGTAGGCCGAGTATAAAAGCTGAAAGCGAGGTTAAACAGGGTCTGTCAATTTGTGCGCAGCGAAAGGTGTCAGTTGTGCATTTAGTTGTTAAAAGTGATGGCGCGGGTACGACACGCGCTGTTCCTGCTCCTCTCGACGATATGTTCTCTTACCGGTAAGTCTCTCTTCTGTCGGTGCTCATCTCGGCAACAAGGTGTATTAAGTCTGGGAGAGTTTTAAGAGCAATTCGGGCCATTTCGCAAGTGTTTTAATGATATTTATCAAAATAAGCGCTCTTACAACTTTCTATACTACTGCGTCCTTTCCGAATGTATTTTTTTATGGTTGCGCAACGAGTTTTAGATTGCAATTGTAACGAGCCCGGGATATTGTAATGCCGTTTCGGTCAAGCGAGTAAATATCATTTTTCATTGCGTCTGACTCCGACATGAGCTGCGGGTTTAGATAATGCAGATTAACATTGCACGATTTTGTACGAATAAAGGTGAATACTAAACAGTCATTAAAATGTTTTGTTGTGTTAAAACGCGATCCAATAATTTGAAGCAAGATGTTTGGTAATATTCTCGAACTAAGAAGATTTTACTCTCAGGATGCCGATTAAAATTTGCCTTAGGTTTTTTAGCATAGCACGTATAGCATGACTTGCCTTGCGTATTGCGCTTTTCATTCTTTTGTTATTAAGATTTAAAATTGTAATTACCAAATCAACCGAACTAGAAGTACTTATGCGAATATTAAGGAATAGAATGACAGTTATCGTTTATGTGGTAGACTTCATAAATATATATGAAAGTATAAACTCAAGCTAGGCATTGCAATAAGCCCACCACGACCATTACTTGTGTTAAATATCTTTCTTGCTTTCCAGCCTTGCGTGCCTGCCTAACTCTTAAGTACTTTAGTTAAATACTTAAATTGTTATAATCCATAATAATGAAAATATAAAAAACAAAATTAAATGGATTTTTTATTTGATATTGGTAATAAAGATCAAGGTCATAAATCCATATTTCCTGAATAATTTTCAACCCTTTTTCGCTCTTCTTAAACGGGCGCAAGTTTACATCAGCGAGAAATTAATTATTATATGGAAGTTACAAAACCATCCATAATTTTTTATGTTATGGTTTCATTTTTGAATTATGAATGGTTTTTATTGGGCTGTATATTACTAAAAATTTCAAAAATTACTGAAATTATTTTTCTTTTAGGATCTTTATAAACGACAAACTGTCTAAGAGCAATGCTTTGTTTGGTTGGAATTAAAGAACACTTCTAATATTATTGTTTCGTAGCAATATCTAAGATATATTAGGCCATATTTTATTGCGAATTGCGAAATGAAGTACAAGTTTGTTAATTCGTATAAGCATTAACTCTAATGAAAAAAGAACAAGAGAAAAATCAAACAACTGAAAATGATAATTATAGCAAACGAGGCAATAATGTTTTCACTTATATATTGCGAAAAAAAGCACATGGACAAAATAAAAATAGGGGAAAATTTTTAAATATTTGTTCTTGGCGTGGGCAGAAATCATGTGTGTGTCAGGACATTCAAACAAGTAATTTAAAATTTAAATTTAAAGTCATTAAATAATGGTAATCTTGGCGATCTACGCTGAGGAGACCAAACTACTGATGCATACTCTAATTTTGACCTGATGTTAAATAATAATAATATATTTTTGTATTATTAAAGCCTCTAGTGCAACGTACGAAAAATCCATAGCTTCATGAGGCATGTGCAGAATTAACATGAGGAACAACAGATAATATTACTCCCAAGTCCCTAAAAGTGTTAGGACGTTAAAGAGTTTTATCAAAAAGATGATGGTCTTATTTAACAGCTACACCCATGGTGGTAAAATACAATGCATTGCACTTGGTTAGTATTCTCTAAACACTGGATTTATTTTTATTGTTTTGAGATACAAACTGTAGTAGTTGTTAATTTTTTTTTTGAGGAAAATTACAATAGTGACTTTCGGTCAATACTTTTCCATACTTTTGTATGACATTTATTTGAAAAGAAACTCTACTCTACTACATCTTTTTTTCAAAAATTCTTCGAACATAATCGTTTCAAAATATTTTAATGAGTGTTGGTCAAAAAGAAACTAAATATGTATGAATCTACATATATACGAATTGGTTAATTGTAATCATGTCATATTAACTTGTTATTATTGTTCTTTTGGATATTGACCATACCAGCGCATAAGACACTGAACATTTTTATTCATTGCAATTTCTTGCAGCACAATCAGTTTGCGCTTAGATTACTGGGATAATTTCAATCTTCAATGTCCGAGCCACCTTGGTAATAAGATACCAGTTCGTGACTTAAACCCGAATAGGTGTTTATTGGAATGATGGAAATACAGTGCACATAAAAAGCCCAGGGAATTTGTACAGAGCCCGATCTACAATGCTTCTTCTTTCTTAGTAGAACAAATTTTGGTAAAACCCTTAAATATGTTAGTCAAACCAACCATTATAATTTGTTCTCGATGACTTAATAAACATTTCGCCATATCGAACACTCATCACATTAAAAACTTGCTTCGGCAACAAAACAATGCAATGGTTTAATCGAGCTTTTAATGAATAGATTTAACTTAGTACTTGCAAAACGTTCACCAGCTTAATAGTTGTGGAAGATGCGCTTAATCATTGGATTTTCTTGCGCCAAGTGGCATTGACGTTAACGTAGCGTAATTAAGATCGCCTTTGCGATAACCCCGCGGAAAGACGTATTCCAAAACTTAATGAACAATTAAAAATTTATATAAACCTTGTTCGGCAAGGCTAGATCTGTCAAACGGGGGTGGTTGCGTAATGCCACATATTAGTAAAGTACCACCGCACGCGGTACTTACGCACATTCAACGGTAGAAATTAAGCCTCGGGGTGATTAAAACCATGGGATATTATGTGAAAGTTGACTGCCTTGCCGTAGTTTTCTCTCGGGCTAATGTTGAGGATTTAATAATCGTTTAAATACTAGGTTTTGTTAGTAATTAACAAACATTATTATTTAGCTGACGAATCGTTGCATACTTGCCTAATGCATTTGAAATGCGGAAAAATGAATTTGGAAAATTTGAAAGCCGAAAATGTTGAACAAACAAAATATGGTTTTCCCCAACGAAATTTATTATAATTTTTAACCGGACATATTGTAAGGAAAAGTATCATCCTCCATTTGGATATTCAATACACGCAAATTGAATTGGTGCCTTTCAAATCTTTCAAATTTTTTTTAGCTTTTCGTGGTAAACTAGTCTCTCTTACTTAGTTAATATCGGAAGTGGAATGGACAAGGATAATATAGTGTGTGGAAGAACACACCCCCTTTTTTCTGTTTGTTTCATTTCAATTCACCACCTTCTAAATTTGAAAACAATAAATTTTCCCCAAAAATGTTTTGTTTGTTTTGCACTGCTTATGACGTTATTTATACTAGCATTCTAATATCAAATTTACTTTTTCCACGTTTTTCGAAATATTTGTATAAACCAAGTCTAACAGCAAATTGTCTAATATCTGACACGTGTTCCCACAGTTAGGCAAACCATTTACTTATTTAGCGTTAGGTTGTAAAAAATATTTTGAGGGAATGTCAAACTACAAAGCAGAAAATATATATATATATATATATATATATATATATATATATATATATATATATATATATATATATATATATATATATATATATATATATATATATATATATATATATATATATATATATATATATATATTATACCCCTATTTCCAGCAACTTTCATGGAACCATCCTTGCCCATGCCTTCCTATGTTTAGTGAGCGATCACATTACATGACATTACTTTATTTTCTTGACTCCTGCTCAACACAAAGAGTTGTCTTCAATTTTATTTTCTGTTTTTTTTTCTTTCATTCTTAGTCGCCTATTCCAATAGTGTGGTAGATATGGCCGCTGAATACCACTCATTAGATGCAATGATGATATTTTCCGTTTTGCAATAAATGTATTAAAATAAATATTAGCAATAACTAAGAACAAATGATCAACAAACAGATATTAATACCATACAAATATTCCTCTCTCGTGCTAAATCATATTTTTAATATAACTTTGCACACAAAATTGCAACAAAAATATACCGACCGATGACCCAACGGCTGAAATCATTCCTTTTATTTTATCATCCCTTTTAGTACTTAGTTTGCTTAGAATATTGCACTCAATTTTGTGCACTGGCGATGCCGAAAAAGTAATGAAATGAAAGAAATTATTTGTTTTAGTCCATGTACACATGACAAAGCCTAAAGTGCGCTTTTAATGGTGGATGATTGCTTTATATTCGATTTCTTTTCTTTGTCGCTATCGCTTTTGGAAAAAATCCTAAACCTAAGCGAACATGAGTGTACAACCTGAAAGTTGCTCCTTAAATTTTGCCATATAATTTTGATCTTCTTATTCTGAAACCAATCCCAGGCAACGTTTTCAGGTCAGAAACGCGGCAGCAATAATTAAAGAGAATGGAGGCACGTCATAAAGTAAGTCAAGGAAGGAAGTTTCCTAATGTAGATTTTCTTCGAAATAATATTGGCCAGTCACGTTGTCAGGAAGAAGACATTTCTTTGAAAATCTAATGAAGGCAGTGAAAGGCAATAAAATTTAACTAAAATATTCTTGCAGAATTGCAAAGATGGCGCTTCACTGCACCCACGACTTGTTGCGACATAAAGATGCCCTGTATAACTATGAATGGGAATAAACTCATTACTATATTCTTTAGTTGTCGCAATGAGCAACAATAGGAAAATTGATTGTATTCGGGCAAATTGCAAATGCTAAACTGGCCACACTTTCCCGCACCCTGAATTCTTGAATCTATAATGTCACTAAAGATATGCGTGAAATAATAAAATCGTGTTTTCAAAATATTACAACCTTGGCTGCTGACGTACCTCGGTTTAATATTAAAAGTAAATAGGAAAAATATTATCTAAGAAAACGTGAAGAAATTCGTTCAACGGAATACCGCGCGCTTATTTGGAGTCGTGAACGTAGTGAAACATGAATTTGTGAAAGGTTATGTCGTTTCGGCATCGTCGACGCAATGTTTTCGAGATTTTTTTCCCGAATTTTTTCTCGAAAACTCTACAGCTTTTATTTCGGCAAGCAGCGCAACGTTTGCGCCAATGTGGTTAATGAGTTTAGAGTAATTTATGCCTACCCTGCCCAACTAGCGAATTGTTCGTTGCACCATCAGCAAATTTTATATCCAGATTTCATTGTTGAATAACGCTTTACCTAAAAGACCACGTCCAGCATGTACTGAAGAAACTAAAACAGCAACTGTAAGTGTACAAAACAGTCCGCCATTCTCAACAGCTTAATGTCACACCTATAGATTATAGGCCTAGTTGCGGTGATATTGCCCATTCAGACATTTGTTTTTCGAGTTGGGTGATGTCCAAAATATCAGTTGCCTATAACTGTTCCAAATTGCGCTGGAAGGAAATGTTTTACGCGTCATCACAAATTGGAACTTCAGGATTGAGAAATAAATGTACGATGGGGTTCTACTATATTTGTATTAAATATTAATATTTTTTTAAGTTTTCTAAAAAAGTATCATTAAATGAACAGATATTTTTGAAAATTGCGACCACACGATCCTTCAAATTTTTTATTTTTATATATTATATATTATTTTATTATATTATTCAATTTTTTCCAAAAATTTGGGATTTTGTTTAATGTTAATTGGACTTTTGCCGATTTTAATAATTTTACTCTTTTTTAAGTCACCACCTTATCAGCAGAATTGTCTTGAGTGACATGGTGACTAGTTATACCCAGTAATTATGAAATTCTTTAAGAAAAAAAACTATTTCAAGCAATTGTCTAATTTCTGTTACTTTTTAATAAAGTAGTTAGAATACGAAAAAAACTGTCATGGTTGGAATTTAAAAAACTGAAGTGTCTGGTTTACCAGCACATAGATATGTTAAAAATTATACATTTCCAGGCAGAGCAAGAACATGGTAGATTACAATTTTTGTTTAGACGTTTTATTAATTACTGGTCGTTCGGAAATTTCCCTCGGTCCACTGGAAGCAACTACTCAAACCTACTCACAGCTTTTAGAAGCTTGCGTACGCTTCCGCGTAGAAGAAGATGATTAATCTTGTTGGCGATAAATAAAAATCTATAAACTTATAATATATTTATATCATTTACAGTTGCCCAGCAGTCTGAGGAGCCGCCAAAGAAGGAAGACAGTTTCGAGGCTGAACTTTGCAAAGACAAAGACGCCGGTGAATGGTTTAGATTGGTAGCCGGTGAAGGTGATAATTGCCGTGATGTAATCCAGTGCACCTCTTCCGTAAGTGCTTGTCTGTCATTAAATAATTAAATCCGAAAGTTGAGACGGTTATGACGGAACATGTGGGCGATGAAAGCATCTAATTAGTGATCGGTTCTCAGAGGATTTAATTAATTGCCTATCGGAGAAACACATTTTTCATTTCTGATTGTTGTCGAATACAACCCTCGTCAGAAGTATTCAGTTTTAATTTAAGTTACAGTTATTTGCTGGGTCTCCTCTATGACTTGGTTGTCTTTTATTTATGGGCAATTAGAGAGGCACAAAAATTAAAATAGTTTCTTTAAATTGTCCGTCAGGGAATCGTCGAAGGCTGTTTCGCCGACAATTAGTTGATCGCAAATCCAAATCAGTTGTCCTTTTTCGATTATTATTGCTCTCAATAGAGACGCGTAAATGAGCGGATTGTTCAATTACTTACCATACGTATCGCTCCTATTCTACAATGTAATTTCATAGTCCGATTGCAATACCCGTAAACATTAAGTCACAGAATAGGAATTACCCAACGCACTTGCATGGGCGGTTGTTTTTAGATCCATAATAAAATAATTAGACCACAACATTGAACATGTGGTTTGCTTTTTAATTTTTATTTCGTCGCCACCGCGGAGAGGACTTCTTTCGCTATCGATTTTAAGCATACCAGACGGACACAATGTTAGCCAAGAGATTATTAATATTTTCGGAAAAAATTTTCGTTTCCATTAAAGTTTGGCAAACGCGTGGGACGAAGGCACCGGAGAAAGCTTCGGATTGTTAGTAGAAATTGAAAAGTACTATTTTTTTTGTTAGTTTGTTGATGTGATTAATGAGAAAATATTATAATTGAATACTTGTGAGTAAAAACCTTATTATAGATATATATTTTTTACATTGTGTAACCCAAATTTTACACATTTTTCTAAAAATCGCAACTAAAAAACAATATCAAATATAAAATCTAACTAACCAAAATTTACCAACACTAACCAAAACTAGCTCTCAAAAATTACAAAAATGTACAACTAAATCCGAAGTCTAGATCAACGTAGATGTGTCATGTTTATTGACATTTTACGTACCGTCTCAAACTCTAGGAAAGATTACTTGAAGCAATAGGGATTAATAAAATGAGACCTTGGAATGTAGTAATAAATGACCACTTAAATGTGCATATTTTCCCGCTATTAAATTTGAATACCCACAATGATAACCGCAATTAAAAATTCCTAACCACTTTTAATATTTATCAACATCGGTAAAGTATTTTAAAATACAAAATAATAAATTAAATACGCAAATGTTCGATATGAGTGGTCCTTTAAGAACGTTGTTGAACAAGAAAAGGAGTTTTAAATTTCCCTTACTTTTTTATTTATTCAATAAAAATCCAAGATTTGTTTAGGTAAGTTTATTTGGTTTTAGAGTTTTGACGAATTTGATTGGCTGGCTTTGGCGGTATTAAACAGCGTCACATCCTGTTGTTTCAGGGTCTGCAAGCGATCCGTTGCCCGGCTGGTTTGTATTTCGATATCGACAAGCAAACCTGCGACTGGAAAGATTCGGTCAAGAACTGCAAGTTGAAGAACAAAGAGAGAAAAGCAAAACCGCTACTGAACACTGACGAGCCTATCTGCGCCGACGGTTCATTGGCCTGCGGCGACGGTACCTGTATCGAACGTGGGCTGTTCTGCAACGGCGACAAAGATTGTGCCGATGGATCTGATGAAAACACTTGCGGTAAGGCAGCCTCTAGTTTGGTTTCGATGGGAATTGTTGCAATTGTAACCATTCAACCTTTTCCTGGTGCTGTCAATATGCAACATCGATGTGTAAGAGCAGAGTTGCCGGTGGTGTGATTCAATGGTTCTCTCGCAACGTCAAAATGCTAGCTTTGCTATAGCGAGAGCCTTTAGTATTCGAAAAATATATAAAAGTTAGACTATCCGCATCGTCACAGAATCAGACTATTTTTTAATCTGTCCGATAGACTCGGATCGGCTAAGCTACTAACTTCCACTTCCTTTTATCTGCAGCTTGCTTATAGAACAAAAATCAGGTGTCATTGGGAATTATCTTTTAATACGACGAAGTTTTGAAATATTTTTATGTTCTGTTGTGTTCTTCCACTACAGCCTTTATTTTGCTTCTTTGTACCCAGCTTCCTGTCAGGAAGAATAATTCCTCTGAATCCATATTCCTATGTAATTAGTGGGAATACCTTCATCTAGCTTCTAAAAATCAAATAAATGACTTTCACAGCATGTCATGTGGTGAACTGCAGATGTTTTTATATAGATAATGAAAGCTCTATTATAATGAAAACTGTGGCAGTTTTCGCTCGTATTCTGCTCCAGTTATAGGTCCTGTTGCGGTTTTCCCCTGGATCGTTCTATCGAAGGAAGAGTAATTCCTCTTAATCAAAACGGCTTCATCAAGCAGCTAAAAATCAAATAAATGTCTTTCACAGCATGTCATGTGGTGAACTGCAGATGTTTTTATACAGATATTGAAAGCTCCACTATAATGAAAGCTGTTGCAGTTTTCGCTCGTAGTCTGCTCCAGTTATATATCCTGTTACGGTTCTCCCCTGGATCGTTCTGTCGAAGGAATAGTAATTCCTCTTAATCAAATGCCTTCATCAAGCTTCTAAAAATCAAATAAATGTCTTTCAGAGCATGTTATGTGGTGAACTGCAGATGTTTTTATACAAATAATGAACGCTCCATTATAATGAAAATTGATGCACTTTTCACTCGTATCATGCTCCGATTAAGAATTTTCATCAACAAATAATTGCTGTGTTTTAGTTCCTGTCGAAAGGTAAACCTAAGAATGAAGAATGCACACCGTAATCCTTTTTATATTTACAATTTTTTCTATCCAATTGCTTGGAAATTTTTCCAAGGCTGGACCCTAGTTGCCTGCCTTTTTAGAAAGTAAATTTCTAGCCACTTTATTTCCGTCGAGGTTATGAATATTTGTGATTTGCTTCCCTCACGGGCCTTTGGTTCTTCTCTCTTTTGAAGGTATGCTTATGCTGATGTTAATTAGGCGCGTAACGCTATCTCTGAAAAGAATATTTCGCAACCACCGCGCACGGGTGCAGGTATAATGAAGATGGCATTAGAAGGTATTCGGGTTGGTATTGAATGTCATAAGGCGTAAATCGGTATTTGTTGCATCCGCGAAATCACGTAATAAATGGCAATAAGTTGTGGGATTACTTTCCCTTTCGCAAGGTAACGCGGCCGAATGTCGAACGATTATATTTGCGTTTACAATAACGTACGGCGACCGACAACGTTGTCGATGGCGTTATTAAAACGTTTTGATTAGTTTAATTAGAATTGCATTGCGGTTGTCGAAGACGATCCTTGCGAGATTTTTTTAACAAAAAAGAAAATACCAATTAGGGAAAAGAAAAGACAATGAAAAGTAGATACCAAGATAAAGGACAAGTTTTAATAGGCTGGTCGAACGTTATGATCTCAATGGAACATCTTGGACAGCTCCTTGTCTTCTTTTTTATTCAGATACTTAAACCTTGTGATTTTGCTCGTTTGATACACTGCAGCCATTTACTGGCGTACTTTGTTCTCTTCTTCCCTGGATGATGATATTTCAAAAATTCGCACAACGTTTTGCGATTTGGTCCAGAGCTGGACGGGAACTGGAAATAAAGGCATTTCACTATAGATTTCGAAAGGAGACCCGACAAAGCATTGATAGATCTGCATCTAATAGAAACCAAGGCATAATTTTGTCTTTACCCAGCACTGCCAAATTGTACATGAAGCACCAAGAGATTCCCATCATTCATGATATTTGTTGAGACCAAGGGCAGATGCGGTATTGCTGAAAAATAGAACGGACAAGCAATGTTATCTACATGCTGACCTTACAAATATTAAAGGTTTGCCTGGCCTGCTTTCGATGATAGGTAGACTCAAAATTGATTGACAAAATTGCCGAAACATAAAACAAAAGAAAGGTCGACTGCGACTGGTTTTCGGCGAAATTAATAAAAGCTCAGATCGGCTTTGAAATGCCTCGCGCACCAGGTACCAGTTTAAAAGTGAGAGTCAGCACGGAGAGGATTTTGTTTACATATTGTGAGCAGGTACCGAACGCTCGATCGATTTGCATACGTGGAATAGCTAAAAAGTGAAACTCGTTGAAAGGTTGCAGGTCAATAAAGTTTGAAATTTTGTACGGAACGTCTAGAGAAATCACAATAAGATCCACGGTTATGCTTGAATGTTTTGTGTTTTTTTTTTTCACAATTGAGGAAATTTTCATTTTTATTACGTTCCAACCAATATTTATACAAGCTACCTAATACTCATCTGACACCAATCCAACCTCAGAATAATTTCAGATATTTGTGAGATAAACAGTTTTTTGTAACTGTTCATTCATGTTTTGAGGATTATCTCGAATTGATGAACCAGAGGATGATTTTAAAGAAATGTTAATTTCACTTTGCCTATATATACTTTTGATCCACATCTGGCAATATATAATATATATATATATATATATATATATATATATATATATATATATATATATATATATATATATATATATATATATATATATATATATATATATATATATCGAATATCACGTAACTTTAGCAAGAGATAAGCAAAAAATAAGTCGTTAGACAGATGGTAAAATAAACTCTGTCTTATCTATCTTCGGTTTTTGCAGTGTGAACTGCCAAAAAAAAAATCGGTGACCATCAAAAAGTGGGATTACATCCAATTTAAGAACTGTACTCTGTCACTCTGTTTACGGTTTGATTTTGATTTTTTTTTCATTCTTTCTTAAAATGCCCTAAAACACTATTGCTAATTGCTGCAACCAAAAATCATAGTCAAACTACAACTGTTTAACAAAAGATGGAGAAGAGAGAAGTACTATTAGGGATTTTTCAAGGAATAAATTAGCAAGAGGGTTTAGGAAATCATTCAAAATTATAACAAGGTTTTAGTGCATTTTTAACAGGTCCGTCCAACCAAAAAAATATCAAAATCGAATAATAAACAACGATTTTACAAGGGTATACATTTCTTAAGTAGAACGATGATTCTGTCTGTGGAGTATATACAAAATAGCATTTGATTTCCGATGATGCCGTCATAAAGCTTCCAAATTTAATTGTTTCCTTAATTCCTGTAGGTTTTTGGGAATCGATGTTATAGGCTTAATCTAAGCAAGCTATGGTGATCAAAATGTAGTAGTGAGTATGAGTGACAAAAGCATCTGTTTAAAAAAACATTAATTATTGTCGGAGGGTGATAATTTCGATATTGCAAGATGCCTGATAGAGAGGCGAGCTACATTCTTGGCCTGGAAAGTGGACCGAGAAGGCGCCGCGCCCGATGTTACGTCAAGGACAACGAAAGTTATTTGTTAAATATCCACTTTCGCATTGAGTTTAACCTAGCAAGGTCCCATGATGAATATGAATGCAGTTCCGACTAGCAACTGGCGCTACAATGAGTAATATAAGATTCCTGAAAAAAGTTTTTGTTGAGTTGTGTGCATTGATCTTCAATTTTTAGCCTCGTTATGCAAAAATAATGTTGCCAATTGTTTAAAGTCCGCTGGTGAGAGGTGTCGATTATCCAATTTATCTAATAAGCGTGCAGCTACAAAGATAAAAAAACCCAAACTGGATATCCTGTAGAATTTTATTTTACAACTTCCTGAAATGGCAAAGACGGCCTTTCTCTATTTCACAATAATAATATGCGATAATAATAAGCGATATGCAACACAATAAACAATTATGTCTAGACGGCACTATTTAACTTATCAGTCTATTTGAAGTTTGTAAATGTCATTATTAAAGCTTCAGCTTTTTGGTCTATTCTATATAGCATTTGCCTTAATAAAACTCCCAAAAAACTCCTAGAATTTTGTATATTTTATTGATACTGACGGAACTATTAAAATTCATTTTTTTAAAACGTTTAATGTCTGACATCCTAGTGTAAATCGTCTTCCAAGAATACATTTTTTTATATTTTATCTTCTTGCATTATTGAATACCATAGTGTTTTTTTGCGTTACTACTCCTGTTGTTTGTAAATAGACATGTTTATTATCATTATTAATCGAATTGATTTCTTTACTACAGATATCGACAATGATCCAAACCGTGCCCCGCCCTGCGACCCGGCAGTATGCAACCTTCCCGACTGCTTCTGCTCGGAGGACGGCACCCTGATCCCAGGCAATCTCCCCGCGAAAGACATCCCCCAAATGGTAACCATCACGTTCGACGACGCCATCAACAACAACAACATCGAGCTCTACAAAGAGATCTTCAACGGCAAGCGCAAAAACCCGAACGGTTGCGACATAAAGTCGACGTTCTTCATATCGCACAAGTATACCAACTACTCGGCCGTGCAGGAAATGCACAGAAAAGGTCACGAAATCGCCGTCCATTCCATCACGTAAGTCGTTGTTTGTTATTCTACTAGTGAAACGCGTAGAGACGTACCCGTTAAATTTAAATTAAACGCTTACGAATCCGGGCATGCTTTTCGCAGGCACAACGACGACGAAAGGTTTTGGTCAAACGCCACCGTCAACGATTGGGTTAAGGAGATGGGCGGAATGAGAATTATCACCGAGAAATTCGCCAATATCACCGACAACAGCGTCGTCGGTGTTCGCGCGCCGTACCTCAGAGTCGGGGGCAACAACCAATTCACCATGATGGAGGAAGAGGCTTTCCTCTACGATTCGACGATCACCGCTCCCTTGAACAACCCTCCGTTATGGCCGTACACCATGTACTTCCGTATGCCTCACAGGTGTCACGGTAACCTTCAGAGTTGTCCGACGAGGTCTCACGCCGTCTGGGAAATGGTTCTGAACGAACTGGACCGCCGAGAAGATCCGACTAACGACGAATACCTTCCCGGGTGCGCTATGGTCGACTCCTGCTCCAACATTCTGACCGGCGATCAGTTCTATAACTTTTTGAACCACAACTTCGACCGGCATTACGAAGAAAACCGCGCCCCGCTTGGTTTGTATTTCCACGCCGCGTGGTTGAAGAACAACCCAGAGTTCCTCGACGCTTTCCTATACTGGATCGACGAGATCCTCGCCAATCACAACGACGTTTACTTCGTGACGATGACGCAAGTGATTCAGTGGATCCAAAACCCGAGGACCACCACGGAGGCGAAGAACTTCGAACCGTGGAGGGAAAAGTGCGTCGTCGACGGAATACCAGCCTGCTGGGTGCCCCATTCGTGCAAACTGACGTCGAAAGAGGTTCCCGGGGAAACTATCAATCTCCAAACGTGCGTGAGATGTCCGAATAATTACCCATGGGTGAACGACCCGACAGGCGACGGTTTCTTCTAAGTCAAACTCCATTAAACTAATTTAGGAACTTTTTTCGAATAGTGTCCCACACCCCTTGCCGAAGAGCGGCTCTCAATCGGGTTTTGCAAGAAGTAGTGATCGGACTCTTAACGTTACATTTTTGTATTTATTATTTTCCAATGACTGTATGCGTGATCTATTTTTTTTTTGTTGATTTATTTTGTAATAAACGGTATATGAATAAGATTAGACTGTTAATTCACTCGATATTACTAGTTGAAGCTTGTACCCGCGCGCTCCGTTGTGACTTTCACAACGATTATGTAACATACACTTTCGTAACGTATTTATGTAAAATTTAGGATCATTTAAGAGCAATTTTTGTTGTAAATTCTTATACGATTACGAACACAGATATTCCTGCAGTTAAAAATAAATTATTTTTACGTGCGTCTTCTGTTATTGTTCCCGCCGCCCGTCCCCAATCGGCTCTAGTCACGCCCGACCATGAAAAAGTGAAAGGACCATCCAGGTTTCTATAAAATTCCCGATAAATAGAAAACAAATTCTCGTTTAAATACCAGAGAGACCTAATAATTCGTACCCGCCCCTTGACCCTCCCACCGTCGCGACTATATCGATTATTTTTTAAACGAGCCTCATCTCGAATATCCTCGCCTCGTTATTTCGCATTGCTTATGTAAATCGCGTTAACGGTTAATTGTTTTCGTCAAGGCAAACTCGAATTTTTTTGTCGCGCGGCGCCAATTAAATTTCGGACGGGCCGGGCAGCATTTTCGACGATTATCTTTTTTTTAGATCATATCGGTGACATTCGTATGACACGGACCGACATGTAGAATACATTCTGAACGCATACGTACGCCACTGCTACGTGAAAATTTTATTACTTGTTCTTGCAAAAGAATACTCTTAATTAAGTTCAGTTAGAGGGCGGCAAACTTTAAAAAAATACTGATTGCTCTAAAGCACCCAATTATCCACCGATTAAGCTTACCGAAAGCGTTATTTCAGTAGATTTTAGCAACGGATGGGATTTAACGTTTCTCAATTCTGACGGTCATGTCATACGTCAATCGAATGTATTCACGTCGTTTGGTAAAATTATGCCGCGACAAACTTCTCCAGATTGAACTAATTAATTAATTTTAATCTAAATGACTAAGTATACTGTGCTGTTTATCTCGAATACATGGAGATATACCTTGGTCTGATGCCGATTCTCTTTCTGTAGAGTGGTTTTTCAAGCTTTTACACTCAGTTACTTTACTCTTTTGACATTGGAAACATTGAGCAGGATTTTTTGAAAAAATTAATAATGATTTGCAAATAATTTCCACCGATGGCTCTCAAAATAATCTAAAATGAAATTCAAATAAGTATGTAGTAATGGGATTCACTCAATAAAATAAAAGTGCGTTCCTAAATAACAACCTTGTCCTATGTCCTAAAACTCCCGATTGTAAGAAAAGTAAAAAATCTCTGAGTAGTGCTTGAGACTGACTTACGTTTCAAAACTTTCATCGTAAGACATATTCCTACGATCCCTATTTAAGAGTATATTATGCAACAAGTGCGGAAACGGGATTTGACTAAAAAAGTTTACATACTTGCATACTCCACTTTTTCTACAACCGTTAGCTTTTGGATACATTTCTGTAAAACAACACGAATATATTCACTGATATGACCGTCAGAATTGACAAACGTCAAAATTCAAGCCATGCGGTAAAATCATCAAAACATCCGATTGCTCTCAAACTCTTACGGTTATACCCAGAATTGTCCTGAAGGGCTCGGATCCGTGGGATAAGAAACTCACGTGGTAAAGTCATGCTTTCCGCATGCTAGATCGGTGTATAATTAAGTATTTTACAGAAGGGAGTAGAAAAAAACATAAGCAACTTCAAATTTCGTTCCTATCGTTACAATGACAGAATGCTTGTTGTAGCTTCATTTCCAGAGTTAGCAAATATGACCAAGTTTCCCAGAAAATAAACTCCATTGGTAGTATGCAAACTGAAAACTCATCAAAACTCAAAATCATCTGGCGTTGTTTGTCCTTAAATCACTTCCTACTTCGTCATTCCAATATCTAAGATTCTACGACGATAACAGGACATAGAAATCACCGCGATCTACTGAATGTTAATAGTTTTTCTATTCTTGGTTATCGATTAACCTTATTTCGCCGTAGCTTTATTTATAATGCTATTGTAATATAAAATAAAGTTCAACCTTCCCTTAAAAATATAACCTTTGATAGCTTTAGCTTTGTTCGCTATCTGTAGTGCCAAATTTGAATATAGAATTTATTAGAATAATGAATGAAATAAGAATTATTCTCAGAATAAGTAAATAAAAATTTACATAGTGGTAAGAATAACATGAAAATACAGAAAGTGTAATAAACATTAATATTTTCAAAAATCTATTATTTACAATACAACTTCATTAGTAAATTTTAATCGTCATATTCCCAGTTGTCAAATGAATGAAAGATTTTAAAGTCCCTCATTTTAAAAGTCATATCAATCCGATTGCGTTAACCCCAGGGTGATATGGCGGAAGGCAATTTATTGTTTCATTTTGAAGTGATTTCGGTGACAACAAATTTCGTACAAAAAAGTGCTCCATTTGAAACTTATTTTTTCCGTTTCTCAACAGCAAATTCACAAACCCTAGCGATGTTTAAGATCGAACTTTGCCAAAAACTACCGAAAACTAACTATAATTAAAATTTTACATAGATGCAATTCCAAAAGTATGAAAGAAATGGCTAGAGTTCAATAATGACTTCCGATAATCACGCATCAAGAAACAGCATTATATTTATTTATTTAGAAATGTTTTTCTGCCAAAAGTCATCCTTAGCGATCAACACAGATTGAGGATATTATATTCAAAAAGAAAAAGAACAACAGCAAATATATACACGGTCTTTCCATTGTGTGTGTGTTAGTATTAGACCCAGCCGATGAAATCCGCCATCGAATTGCGTACTTTATTTCACGGTAATTCCCACTCAATTTAGAAACCACTTTAAAAATCGATGCCAGACCTCCGCGACATCACCAAAGTGCCCATATCAAATTGATACATCGAATCCGATAGTTCATTGAAACCGCTTGATATTGACATTTAAACGAAGAATGTCGGGATTTTACTTTTTCATAGCCTAAGTGTCAAGGCAATACGAGAGACGCATCTTCCCTACGTAGTTTTATGTTACTTGGTATTTCGAACTGCAGAAAATCGATGCGGTTTTGATTCAGATTACCGACATTGCACAACCGCCTCTTTTAAATGTTGAGTTTAACATTGATATAATAAATTGCAGAAAATCGAATATGCCAATAAAGGTCACTCGAATTATACTTGATATCGGGAGTGAGCAGATATAAACGACACTGTTTAGCTAACCACACCGAAAAGAGCGACACAAATAATTATTTTCTTATAGTTTTTTTATTGCTATTTTAATATTAATTTTATTATTTATTTATTTTGTAAGCAAGTATGAAGTGAATTCATAGAAACTTACCCGAGACAACAACATCCTAAAAGAAGAAGAATAAGAGTACAACTGACCAAAACGATAGACTATAATCCATCGTAATGGGGTAGGTTTTTTTGAGTAGATGCAGGGATCGATTTAATGTCACTCAATCAAGATAAGAACGAAATAGTATATATTTTATTTTAGGCATTAGAAACGAAAGCAAGTTCTTCCTAACGTTCATTCAACAAAAGCATATGGATAGAAAGTGTCAAAAAGAAGAACATCAATATTCAAAGCGCCCGTTAAAAAAAGGTATTTTATTTCGTACCTATACGCTGCTGTGTACTCGTTATGTAACTCCACAATTGTGATGTTTCGGAAATAAGAATTTTTTTCCGATTTTCTTTGTGATACTGTGAAATAGTTGCTGTAGCTATCAAGTATAAATCTGTCAACGCTACTCGAATTCGGAATTCTCGGAATATCTTAACTTAACACTTTAAAAATTGTTCAAAATCCCACATAATTAAATTTAGAGGTTAACATATTGCACTAGCGGGGCAACTGCTTAAAAACAAGGTGCCACGGATGAATATTCGTCGCAAAAAAAGAGCAAGGACGTATTTAATTGACAATGGTATTACTAACGATTCCCGAAACAATGAACTTTTCCATTTCTTGCAAGTTTAGAATGATCTCTCAAAAGAAATGACTTCGGTGCTGCTTTAATATGCTACTCAAGGTTCCTAGCCAGTTACCCTTGCTATAGTAAGTTCCTTAACAAATATGGCAACGCATTGTGCGTTCGTCGTCAAGCCACGCCCGATACACGTACGCAAAGAAGCCGTAAGTAAACAGGATGGTTAAGAACACAAAAAATGTAAGATCATTCATTCACTTCAGTACTTTACTCATTTCTTTCATCATCGAATTTAATCCGATTTATCGTGCCGATAAGTTCTGAATTTTATCATTAAAATTCGATCCAGATTCGCTACTGATTATCCGGATAATAACTTTTGTACAACATAAGATTTAGGCTTCTTATCTCCTCTATATATAGCAAAGATCGAATTAGATTTAATATGTAATTTTACTGTATTCAATAAGAATAAATTGCCAAAATTCCTTTATCAAATGTGTTTCTAAGCCACAGTACTGGACAAAGTATTCAGCTAAATTAAATAAACACAAAATAATACCGGTTTTGTAAAAAATATTTAACGTCACTGATTGTACCGATTATGTCCAAACTTTTGAAATTCAAATACAAACGTCAGCATTCAATAGTTCAAGGAAAGTCACGACGTGTTTTCGCAATTTTATAGCCGTTTGATTAATTTTTTGTGTCACATTTTCGTCACGCTTTCTGATATCATCAAATAATTGAACTCCCGCAGAGTCGTAAAAGTTTTTGGGCAATTTACGGCCAAATTTGAAATCGTCTTACATATTCAACGAGATGTTGAAAGACGATAAATGTCATCTGATAATATTTAGCGATTACCAAACGTTCGCGTTGGTCAATAACTCGTCAAACACAAAATATACTCGCGTTATCAAAAAGCCGGCCCGCCGATGCGACATTGAACTTTACGATTTTCTATCGCCATTGGAAAGCGCTTTCCTTCGCCTAATGCGTCCACTTAAGTGCTCGCGAATACAAAATAAAACATGTTTTTTTGTCACGTAGTCAGTACACACACGGTGTGCAAGTTTGGATCCAGACATGAAGAATCCATTACAAAGCTTCATGAAACGCCAAGCAAAGACAGTTTCAGGTTTTAATGGTTTTATACTGTTTCAGAAGGTAGAGTGATGTAGAGCAACCCAAAGGGACTATAGAACGACCTGATGAATAGGACTTAGGATTCAGCCATTTTCATTGTTTGGCGTGGATTTCATTGCAAAATTCCTTTCTTTTATA